TATATATATATATATATAAATTTATATGTAGACATCTAAATATATATACATACTACGTGTAGATATGTATAAATATAGAAAAAAAGAGAATAAACGGAATTGAGGAATATCAAAAAGAGGAAAACGATATGAGGAAGAGAATAGCAGTAAAAGAAAACGATAAATACGTATGTATACCGAAAAAAAAAAAAAAAGAAAAAGTAGGATTTTCTATAACTAAACAATTACCGTCAATTAAAATTATGAAAAACCGATGAAATCTTCGGTTTTACTTATAAAGGATTTTCGTCATATTGGTTCAACAAAATGGCCTACAATATGAAAAGTTTTTCGAAAAATCTTAGCAAAAGTTTCAACTATGTCTAACACGAAATACAATATTAGCAGGAATTTATCAAAGATCAAAATTTTTTTTCAACCTATTAAAAAGGTGTTTGAAACTCAATTATTTCTAAAAAAAAAAAAAAATAAAAAAAGGAAAATAAATTCATTATAACTTATAATCATTCTCATAACTGACAAATAAGAATGATATATCTAAGAAAATTCAATACACTATTCAATTCCAGTATTGATATTTATAGTTTATGCAATTTTTAAAACAAAGTTTCGGTGCCAACAGAGTCCATTAGGTTTCTACTTTGCGAAAGAGATGTTAGAAAAGCTGTTACTAAGATATTCTGGGTGCTGCGATGCGTTAGGGATGGAAATGAGCGCCTATTAAGACATAAAATTGGTTTAAAAAGAGAGAGAGCATTGAAAAAATAGATCATATTAAGAGATTCATTTTTATAGCATTCTATTAGATGATGGCTATGAGGAACTGCAGCTAAAAACACAATATAAAAATTTTCCGAAACATTGACATGGATATAACATCATCACAACATCAATGAATTGTGACTTAAAGTTTGTAACACCTAAACCACCTAACGCCATATGCCAAGAGGTTTATATTTTTACCTACAACAAGAGATAAAAAGAATGCCATTCATTTTGTAAGAGAAAGCAAGAAGCAATACAAGAAGTTTTTACAAGCGCCTTGAATGAAACGTTAGATTCATTTGGAACAAAAGACCGTTCTGTCAGCGAATAAGCGTATAAGAAAGAATTAAAAGTGTTTTGCACTTTTATAATATTTGTTTACAAAATAATAGATTGCAGCCTGTCTCCGCATTCCCATTAATTTTGAGAAATTGCTTCTTCCTATTCCTGAAATTCTGGAAGGAAGGGTCGCGTATTTTATTTCTCTAACCAAATACCGATATATGACTTTAATACTAACACAACTTCTGATTATTTCCTATCTAGGTTATATATATATATATATGTATATATAATTATCTACAGTAAGTTACGCCTAATTGTTCCCGATCACAGTAGTTCCATCGAGCCAATGTTATTACTCTGCGATACAAGTGCTTTTAAAATGTTAAGAACTTAATATAATGGAACGGCAAGACAACAATAACAAATATTATTACATTATGTATGTTATGTATGGAATCCTTTATTAATAGAATCATACGGTAATAATAAAGGAGACATTCATTTATAATTCAAATTGCGTATATAGCATTTCATGAAAATTACTTACTTCATTAACAGCACAAATGTGTGTATATAGCGTTATTTAATTGTAGATAAAAGTTTTATTCTTCGTCATCAACGTTAAAGGACAATTTACCCGTATTACTGGACTTTTTACTTTTCTTAACTGTGCTCTTTGCTTGGCTACTTTGTTGTTTGCTACAAACTGAAGATGCTTCACTTTTTGTTTTACAATTTTCTTTAGGTTTGCCGCGACGAAATGTAATAGGCTGACTGAGATCCGCTGGTGCTTCTGCTAACTCTGTAAGATTTAATTACATTAATATACGTATTTATATACAGTTTGACTTAAATAAAATTTTTTGCATAGAAAGTAAGAAATAAACTAAAATACGTGTCGTTTTGTAATTTTTGGCGTTGTTTTTTTTTTTTAATTGTTTTGAAATTTTTGAAAATTTATTAAAATTTTGCTTTTGTTGCGACTTTAAATCAATTTCCTATCGTACGGATGATGAAAAGTGCTCTAATTAATTGTTTTTATACTGTTATGGAGCCTAATTTGTATGTATATGCAATGAAGATTATTTTGGAAGTTTATTGAATATCATCCCACAAGTGTCACCTTTTGACCCCGTTATAACCTCTTTCCGTCCAATAGTAAATATTTAACTTAATACCCTTCTGCTGACAAACACTTAAATTACAACACAGTACCGCACCGAACGTCTTACCATGGCACCGGTGCAAAACACGCATTTATTGGATGAAACCACTTGTCATTCTCTTTTATTGCGATAGTTTAGCCTTTATTTACTATGTTCTTTAAATTCGTCATACGTTTGTTTTCAACTTGCTTCAACTTATATTTTCTTTTCCTGTTATTTCGTCGCTTGTGTCTGTACATTCGTAAAATGTCTGTCTACATGTCTGTCCAAGCAAGCAAACCAACCATTCTGCTTGCCCGTCTTCCGCACATTGCGCGGGCTGTTTAGCATCGTTGTGCTGCTGACAGCAGCTGTTGGCCCATACGCTTTGTTTCAATTTTATCGCCTCGTTTCTTTTAACGGAGCCCCAGCACTTTGTCTGTGTAAGTGTGCAAAAGCGTATGCGTTTAATTGAGGGTGCTCCGCTGGCAATTCAATGACCATGGCAGGAGTTTGATGTAGCCTCAAACTTTAAATGTGAAAACTTCCAATATGGAATAACAACATCACTTCCACTTAATCTATTTTGGGCCCTCTGAACGAAGCATGAGGGCCAGATATGTAGGTGTTTTTATGGACACATAATGCCAATGCCAAGCATAATTTTTGAGGTTAGGATTACATTTTTTCATTATAATTTTCAACTTTATTTCAGATTAAGATTTTCATTAAAAACAATTTGTCTATGCTCATTTTAAATAGCACATCGACTAACTAATACAAGCGATTGATATTTTTAAATTGAAAATAAAATTTATATTCTCTTCTAATGCTATGCTTTTTGATAACAGAAAACTCCTCATATCTAACTTACGATTTATTTTTATTTTAATCACAGTTATTTTGTCGATTATTTTCACCTTTATTTTAAAAATTATTTTTCTTTTTTGCTTTTTTTTTTTTTGCAATGCTTGCTCTTCTTCTTAAATGATTTTGTTCAGATGAATTTTATATGCTGTTCGCAAAAAAATTTTAAAAAAACATAGAGAGGAGCGTGGAAACGACACAAAGCAAAAAAATAACTAACGACAGACGCTCGACTCTGACTCAACTAAACCCAAATGACAGCTAACTGACAGCAACGCAGAAGTAGTACACAAAAACGGGAAAACAAGCCATGTATGGACGGACGGGCAGTCAATAACAACAACAACAACAACAACAATTATAATAACTATAACAACAATAGCAACAACAACAAAAAATTACAGCTATGAAAATAATAGTATGAAGGCGCAGGTAAGCAGGGTAAGATAGATGATTATGTACGTATGTGCATATCAAACATAAGGAAAAATACTAAAGGATTTTTCCACGTAAGAAATTTTCAGATTTATGCACTTGCCTTTAGCCAAACGTTCCTCTTCAATAGCCACTTCTTCTGCAGTTAAATCGCCGCTCTGCAATACGACAATTTGGGGTTTCTCGTCTTCGCGCTCTGGTCTATATTCTTTTGAATGGGATTCTGATGACAAATCGTCCAATTTTTGACGCTGTTATTATATATATATTTAACGATGTTTACATATTAATAAAAGATATTTTTTGCTAAAACTCTTTGATGTTGCACTTTATCTTGTGTTTCTTTCACCTTTGTTTCTATAGTGGGTCCTTCTTTATAACCGATTTGCTGCTTCAATTTAGCCAAAAAACTAGGATCTTGGGGCTTAAGGTATGTTACATTACGTTTAGACATAGTTTCTTATAAAATTAAGATCACCGAAATCCCATTAATTTACCGCACGATAATTAAATTATATAAAATTCCTAATACCAGTAAATGAAAAATTAAGATAAGTCAAGTAAGTTAAAAGATGCTTGTGTTTTCATACTGTTTACCTTTTCGCAGCTGGTAGGGTTGCCAATTTATCATAATCAATTTATGATTGATTATCATAAATTTTTTTTCTCTTAAGTTAGCATTTTTTTATTTTTATTATTATTATTATTATAACACCAAAAGAATAAATTCGAGGACTAAAAGTAGGATGAGCACTATTTATCATCTCTCTCTTCTCTTTTTTTCTTTACAATTGTTTAATATATAATAAGCTTCAATAAAGTTGAAAATTTAATTGTTTTTAAATTTTCAAGGTATTTTCAACATGTCCATAGGGTTAGATGCTTGGTTAATTAATCTGTGAATATTAGAAAGGTTTTGGGCTTCAGAAAGTATATGTTTAATCGTTGGACGTTGTCCGCAATCGCATATTGGGGAAGTAGAATTCTTACCGATATATTAATGTGTTGCAGTAAGGTATTCAAGTCGGATGAGTGCAAATGTTTGGATCTTGCTTTTCCTGACGTTGATTCAATATAGAGGTGGAATGAGGAAGGATTCTTCATAAATCCTTTATAAAAAATCCTAATTATCAAACTGAATATGAAGACAATTAATTACAGTGTTAGTTGCTACACTAAATTATTTCGTTTTAGTTTCATGTGGTTTTAAATAAAATACCCGATATAATTGGTACAGGAATATAAGTCGGGAACTTTTGTATTTTCGTTTAACTTTATAAAGCTACACAAATAAGCATTTATTTTATATATTTATAACACATAAAAATTTAAAAAATAGGGTTAGCCATTCATAAACGCAGGTATAAAAATTCGTGACGATTGCTCACCTTTGACGAATACATTTAAAATATATTGTCGTCTTCGTCTTAGAAATTGTACTCTTTTCTTCTTTTTTTTTAGTTGTATTTGCCTACACTGTAAATATTTGATGGCCAACTCGTTTTAGGCAATCCATTTTTGATTGGTTTGTGTCCAAAATCCCACTATTTTTATATATGGATTTTGACATTGTAAATTTGGTGCAGTGGATTGTTGTTGTTGCAGTACTGCTACCGCATGTTGATGTTGTCAGCGTTGATATATATTTTAATTAAAATAAGTGATGCCAAGTTACAGTGCTTGATAGAAGGAAAATTACGTTTTTTGTTAATAATTGTTGTTGGATATAAGGATTGCCTGGGTTTGTTATTTGACATAAAGACTGGCTGTATTGCTTGTTGCGTATTAAGATTGCCGAGCTTGTTTTAGAGAGGATTTGAATACATTTATGACAAATTTGTTTCATTTTTAACGCATAACGTAGAAAAATTTGAAATATTTTAAAAAATGCTTACAAATAAACCCATTGGGTGGAATGTATTATTGACATATATATATATATATATATACAAATATACATATGAATAATGTATTCATATACTTTTGTTTAGGCAGAGAATCTTAAACTTTGAAAGCTTTTGGGGCTGCAGCATATGTTTGTTTTATCCTGTAGTAAACGATGGTTATTTGATTGGTAAGCAAACACAACCGGGCATATATTCTCGAGTGATTGCGTTGTAAATTAATACAAAATATTAATTATAATAATAAAGTAGAGTAAAAACAAAAAAAAAAAAAATAAATATATATATATATATACATATGCATATATATATATATATATATATATATATTATCTACATATATGTAGATATATATATAATTCAGGGCTACTTGTTTAAATAAATAAGAAATTTTCGAAAACGTTTCGTAAAAATCATTAAATTATACATTGTCTTGAAAACATTACAAGAGTAATATGCAGCTTGCTTTCCCGATTCGTTTAATTAAAATTACGTGCAATGAAGGAAAATTAGCATAAAATTTTATTTAGCTAAAAAAGCAAATTTCTGAAAAAATTCAATAAAAAAATTATCCTATTTAGGTAGCAGGGGGAAGGAAAAGTGTCTGTGCATTTTGAAATAATATAAAGTTGTGCGCATGGTTTCGTGTAGAGCTTTATGTAAAAAAAAAGAAAGAAACACAAATAACTACGTACAGAAAAGTTCTGAAAGCCTTGAAAATACATGCACAGGGAAATTCAATTTTAGCTTGAACGGATTGTTGGCTGGCTTACCCACTCGCGTTGAGTGTTGTTTACACTGACCCGGATTTTATAATCACTAACGGTTTTCTTTTAAATTAACGTTCGTAGCGACACCTAACTGCGACTATTTTTGTAATTTAAGATTACGTGCACAAAGGTTATAGTGTAGACATACGTGTATACCGGCTGGTGTAACTTCATAAATTCAAATATCGAAATTTGCACGCATAACAGTGAGATTATTGTTTCTGCTGATATGTATCCCTCTCTGCCAAAATATGTAAGGTCTTCCGCTCAACAACAACAAATGCCAACGCCCAGTCAACATCAGCATAAATTCGGTGGTAATGGTGCCAATGCCAGCCATACGTTTAGTTCGACCATGCAAACGGTTCCGTATGCATTGCCTATTAGTAGTGGTGCCTTCGCTTCGCAATATTCCAATTTGCCGAAATCTTATGGTGCCAGCGGGGTAACCGTGCAAAGATCCCATTCTGCCGCCAACACAGATATGTGCCGTACTTATTGGGGTCATAATCATGCATCCACGATGCTTTATCGCTCTGATCGTCATCACAGCAAACGCAAATCGGCGGTAGAATTATTGGCCGAAAGTAAGCAATATTTTGTAAAGTCGGATATGGTTATTGATCGCTCAAATTACGGTGGAAACACGTTGCTTATGGCTAGCGGTAAAAGAGGACGCAATGTTAATAGTAATATTACATTGGACGAAGGCAAATATAATCCTGGTTATGTAGACACGAATTATGTGAGTAGTGCAGAAGTGGACCGTCGTTGCAGCTCATCGGTCCCTTCGGTACATCATAGGCGATCTTCTCACGTTCATCATCATCACAGGCATAATCATGCAAATACTGGATGTCGTGGCACAAATGCTGCGGCATCACCTGCTGGCAGCACTATGTATCGCGGAAAATTTCGTATAATGGTGGGCTCAGATCCAAATCCCGGACGCGATTGTCTAACAAGATTCAAATCAGATTCATATACCGAAACTATCGGTTTGAACGAGGTGGGTGTAAAATGTTATTTATGTTATTTGTTTAAAATTTTGTTGCTAAATAATGCTTTCTTGTTGCAGACAAAATCGGTTTCATTTGAAGAGGATGTCGCCATCAGACTACCCCCACCCCCTCTGTATTTTTCACAACCGACCACCTACGCCAACATTTATGACAGTGGTGATGAGCCTTTGGTTTTAACCGAAAACTATCGACCTATTAGTCCACCGGCCGAATATGCTGAAGAGCCTGCTACCAATCCTAACACTATGAGAGTTCGGTAAGATTACTATGCGATTTTTAACGGGTTACATCACTGTACAAGTGCTCCTTGACATTTTTTTTTGGCTGAAAAAAAAAGGCAACAAAATAACATTTTGTACGCAAGTTATTAAGCATATACTTAAGGTTAAAAAAAGAAAAAAAAAATCGCTAGTTTTGAATCTAACGAAAAGACTTTTCCAATCTTCACTCCCGTATATGGAGAAGTACGTAAGGGATTTTAAAAGTTGATTGATTTTGATGTGATGGATGGTTTTGAGTGGAGTCCTTCAATTTTCGACCCAAAAAACCCAATCATATGTTAATAAACCATGTTAAAATATAATTTTTGTCGAATGGGAAGACATCCCACGCCATTCACCCGACTATTTTAAACATATTATGAGAGAAATCGAATGAAAAGAACGAAAACTTATTGAAGTTATCCCATTTGTCGCTTTGAAATATCGTGTTTCGAGGAGAAAGCGTTTTTCTGTTATCATGTAATTATGTGTTCTTCCATATTCCCTTTCCTCGAGGGTTTTACGCTAAAGTCTCCCGTTTCTGCTAGCTGTGCCAATGGCAGAATGGCCCATCTTATACGCTTCACGTAAAACAGCGAAAAAGAAAGCATTTATAATTCCACATAGATGGGAAATCAACAGGTACAAAAGACTTTATTTTGCAATCTATTGGCAGTGACTTGTTTCGCGTGGACAGTCTTCTCGAAGCACTTTGGAAAAATTGCAAAATTCCGACGTAAGCAAATTCTTTGTAAGGGCGACTAAAAATCAATGTACTTTCGTGGGAATCTACAGTGGTGTAACAACTTTAAATGATTTGTTCTTTTTCTTTTATTTTTTGCGTATTTACGTTTTTAGGTACAATTATCAACGATCTTATTCCCATTCCCATGAAATGGCCAATGGAAAAACCAAGCACACTGCCACTTCTTACAATATTAACAGTCACAAATCCCTGCCCGATTTGCATACGCAAATCAATCGTCATTCGCCGCATAGTGAAATATTGAGTTGTTGTAGTCGTGGTAATCGTTCAATTAAATCAACAGGAGAATCTTCTCTTAATCGTGACTCGGGTGGTTCGTCGGGTCATTATACCCATCGTAGCGAGCCTTGCTATCGTCAGTATCGAGAATTAGAGCGGGATTTTACTAACGGTTCAAAAAAATACTGCAGTGCAACAACACGAGTCGAATACCGGCGCGATAGCGGTTCTTCCACACAGCACAGCAACACATCCTATTGCGATTATGCTTGCAAAAATTTGATGATTGATAATTATGATTCGAATGATTATTTACTTAATTTTACTACTCCCGAAGTGCCAGAAGCCTTTCAGGATGATTATATACCGCCCGCTAATAGTCGTCTACAAACTTATTCAACAAATGAAACTCGCTATAGTTATAGTTCCTCCATACAACCGATGATGGGTAGCAGCCAAGGCTATATGAAACATAAATCAATGTCCGATGAGCCTATAGTGCAATCACCTGGTTCTGCACCATCCATAGAGGATATAAGCCCTCCGCCAATACAATTTAAACGTCAGAAATGCATACGTTTCAAAAATCATAATCGTATATCGTTGCCGCAACCGGCGGCGGTCGCAAATGTCAACGAACACACCCAGAACTCGTATCGACGTTCGGATCCAACTCGGTATTTCTTTCCGAAATGTTTTTCAGCCGAGGAATATCCCATTAACGCTACCAAAATTACTACCATCCATCAACCTTATGCCCACAAAGATATCAAAGATCAATTGGCCTCTAAAACTCCTCTCAGACATTCTCAAGAATTTGAAAGCAATAAGGAGACATCATCGGTTTTAATGGACTTGGAGCAATTTTTCGATCGTTTAGGTTTGCAAGACGATAAGTTTCACGAAATTTATACCATCAATAAACGAAGACACAGTGCCGACACAGCGGAATCGGATAACAGCACTGTATTCTTTTCGGATGTTAGTACAGTGGACTCAATGCGTTTACCGGACAGTACCGAAACTCAACCGCAAACAACCCAAGCGTATAGACCATCGGAACCCCCATCAATTGTTGAACGCAATGCACGCATAATTAAATGGCTATGCAACATACGTAAAGCGCAAGGTGATATGGTGTAGAAATATGAGAGGCTTAGCAGCAGCTATAGAATAAAAAGAATTGTAAGTCTAAGGGATTCACTCGTGTAATAATGTAAAGAAGAATGTGAAAACGTGACAATATCACTCATAGTCGATTTATCTGTGGACATTTTAATAAAGATTCATATAAGGGGAGCGGTCGTCGTGTATATAGAACAGGTTATGTATGAGACGAGAAACCCTAGAATATGAGAAAATGCAAAAATAGTGAACACAGTTGTAAAAATAATGGTAGACTCTATAAATAAAGATGAATGAAGTAGACAATAGACGTGGATATATTCCGCATATTCATACATATATACGAGTGCATATATATATATATATATATATATATATATATATATAGAGAGTTCCTTGACAGGGGTATATAAATTTTAATTTATTTGTAAGTTTGTATCACATTATTATATATGTTAGTTTCTGTCGTGTCATCAAGGGACAGAGGAAAGATTAATAACGTTGTTTATATGTCGTGGCAGCTATACATAGTGGCGCTAGTGCCACGACTGACACAATTGTCCCCCTAAAAGAATAATCGAGTAAAACATGCAAAGTGACTTGTATTCTTCATAATCAAGCAATCAGGCCAATAAGACGCAGCGCGGTCCCTTTCCTTCACTTATGTCATTTTAAACTACACACTTAGGTTCAAACACAAGATTACAGTGTAATACACATACGTTTATAGATAATAAGTAAAATTTCTTTAGAAGCACTGAACACATCATAGCTCAAGAAATTCGTAAACAAATTTCATCGAAATTCTTTCAGCTAATATATCGGAACTGCGTTATACGTTCTTACACCGAAAATGCAATCTATGTTAGAATAAAATATGTACAAATTTCTGCGCTTTTCTTGAATACTTAAACAGACCGCGTATATTTCAATAAATAAATAAACAAAGAGCAAAACAAAACAGAATATAACGTTATAGTCGAGCAAAGCCGACCATTGAATACGCTGCATCGCTTGGTAAGCTTCCATCAACACGGTTCAGAGTTTAATCAAAAAGAAGAAAAAATTCACAATTTTATGAAAATTATTTTTTGAAAAAGTCTCATACAGAAGATGGTCCAAAATCTCAACGGGTCAGATTCGAATTTATTATAGATAGTTTTTTTTTTTTTTTTTTTCGAAATTTTACTTGCTTGCCCAAGTTTATAGTTCAAATTATTAATCTGTAGGATAATCGCAAGATCCTCGCAAGATTCTTAAGTACAAAATAAATGCTTGTTGCAATGTAAATCTCCTGACCGTCTTTTGAAATGGACGGTGTTCAAAATGTGACGACATCTCTGCCAAGTTCGTTTAATCGAAGCAGATACTATTAATGTGACAAGACCCCATTTTATTCGGACATGATTGTAAGGATGATCTGATGTAATCCATTTTCAAATAGGGTTTGCCCTCCGGTCAAAAATCTCGAAAAACTTCATAGATCTGTGGATACCAGGCAGGCATAACAACTGACTGACAGACTGGTGGGGATGTGGGGTGTGAAATCGTACCGGGCATATTGTCTTACCACAAGTGGTGTAGGGTATTAAAAGTAGAATAAGTTAAATTTAACAAAACATTTGAAATTAATCGAAGGCAAGCGACGACCATTTGAGCAGAATTAAATGAAATAAGTGATTTTTGTGGCTGCGAGTCTATTAAGAAAAGTTAATTCTCCTGTATGCGCACAAGCTTGAACTCTTTCTCTATCACTTTTATTTGAACACACAAGAAAAATGTGTTTTTCTGCAATGCAAGTTGAAAAATTGCATTTTCTAAGCAGCATAAATAAAAGGAATTTTTTTTTTTTTAATATATATGTGCGCTTACGATGTGCACAGAGCATGTGCCCCGGCATTGTACAGCTCGCACGAGGGTGTTTTCAATATGATGGAAGGGTTGTATGGCATAAAGCGGTGATCTTTTCACTTGCTAAGATCGCTAATAATCGCTTCCTAGGCAAGCGAATGAGTGCAGTAACAGTGATGTTATGATCGTTTACAGTTACCAGTAAGTGATTGGCATAATTACTCTCAGTTGGGAATATGATAATTTCGGAAAATATTGAGCTTCCAAAATATCCAAATTGGCAAGTTCATATCCCTGGTGCCCTTGATATTTGGACGCGACATTTTCCCGATTATCTAACATTTTCATATATGAATATTATGCTTGCACTTTGATTTACACAATCTCTGACGTAATTTGACGCGTAATAATGTTTGGTAAGGGCGAAAAATACGGTTCGTTATTTGAGCCTAGGCTATCACGCGATTACTTCTTCAATTCACATTCTGCTGACAATTTTCGATTTTATTTTGTTACAAATTTAAGAAATCAAGATGCAGGACGGACGGAACTTGGGAACATTTCTGAATTGCAAATGTACGCATTGCACATGCATTACACGGTAAATTCTAAAGCTTATTGTGATATTATGTTACGTGCAAAGATTGAGTAAACGGCTCACCAAAAATTGATCTAAGCATACACATATAAATATATCTCTTCTTACATAATATATATATATATATATATATATATACACAATATACGATATTGTGTCGATATCATTTAATATTAAAAAAAATGTAAAGTTAAACTCATTTGCGGTAATTAAATATTCAGGAAATGTCACGGATAAATGCAAAGTAGAATAATTATCCGAATATGATCAAAATTATTTCAATAAAAATTAAGAAAGAAAAGCAAAAGTTTCTAATTACGAAAAACAACAAAAAGCATCTGCAATTTATTTCATTGATTAAGTAATTATGGATAATTAAAAAAAAACTATGAAAATATGTGGAAAAGCCTTCAATCAATTAAAGGTCTTACATGTTTATATAACGCGTAATACAATTTGCATAACTATTGCATGGAATGCACTTACCACACAACCATGCGAACTCTTTAAGAACACACATATCCACGCTTTATGGAATACGGCGAGCTCCTCTACTATCGCAATAACTGCAGCTAGAGTATATCAGCTTTTTAAAGCGATCTTAAATATGCATATTTTTGATGCTAAAAAGGTCTTAAAAGTCACAAAGTTTTTATTAGATCAACTGTCAACTGAAGATTATACATAGGCTTGGACGATGTTGTTGATCCCCTCTTATCATGGTTGAAATGAACCCATGCAACTCATTCAAATTGAATGCTATTCTTATATGGCTACAGATCAAATTGGAAATCAGATCTGACTCGATTAAATCGTCTGAAAAACTGCAGAATAAATCAAAATGCAAAAAAAAAAAAAAAAGAAACTGAAACTGAAAAAATTGCTAGTAATTAACGATTTAAAGTAGCTTTGTTGGATGTGAGTTAACATGTGGCTCCAATACTTCTCAACGTAAAACGCCTCTAAGTGTGCGCTATATAATCGATAACAAGTAGGCCGTAGGCGTCAGCCCTTCGCATCAAGGTATCGCATTGTTTTTGAACGACAACGCATCTGTGTAGAGATGTAGTATTTTTTAGTCCGGGTTTCGTTGAAACGATCAAGTAAGAGGAGGCGTTTTATATATATATTAATATTCATCAGGAATTTTCCAGGAATGTGGTTGCACTGGAGTTTGTAACGGTTTCATAATACTGCCCTGTAAGTTTTCAAAAATCATAAAAATTTGAACAGTCTCCGAACTTAGTATATCGGCTACATTACGTGACAATAAGTTACGGATCTGTTATCTTGCTCTAAATAGCAAAATGAAGGTGTAATAAACGCCCGCGTTCGGCTAATTGGCACTGATGAAAATGACCATGTCCGTCTGTCCATTTGTTCGCCTATGTATGCCCTGTGGTAAAAATTGTTGTAATCGCAAAACGTAAGATGCCGCCTTTGAAATTTTGCAAGCATATTAGAAGTGTTTGCACGCTGGTTGGTATTGAGCATGGGCAGAGTCAGCGAGTCTATAGTAAGACATAAACTGAGAATATCTATGTTTTCACAAACAAAAAAATTGATTTTCTTTTCGCTCGTCAGCCATAGGCTATTGCAAATACCACGCCAAATGTATCCACAAATATTCTATGGATAATTTCAACAATGCCTTGGGTATGAAAATCGAAAAAGTCGATCGCAGAGATCTAGGCATTCATTAATTTATTTTTTATATATTTTGTAAATAAATTTACAAAATATGGAGTTAAAGGCTGCCACATAAGTTAGATCGAATGCTTTGTCTCGGTTGAACCTCGACCATTGAGTTGTTAGTCGCGATCCTTTCCCTACTCTGCTAGTCATCTGGACAGTTTTATGTTATGTAACAAAGTACTCAAATTTAATTTTTTTCATATAAGATAAGGATGGGGCGACACGAGTCTTACTCATGCTTGTTAAAGACTTGTTGATGACTTGGAACATAATTTCGCAGAGACCAGGGCGAAGAATATATCCGATCCGCTGGGAAGTGAATTAATAAAGATAAACTCAGTTGTTGTAACTGAATGAAATTTGAAGCAATTCTCATATTATGTGCACAATAATACTTAAAAATTATTGAAAAATTTTAATTTTATAACACAATTACATGGATGTTCGTTTTGTTCATTTTAACGTCGCTAGAGTAAAGCTATCAGTTACTAATTATGATTTTATTTGGGTCTCAGGGAAAATCCAATGAAACACGTTTAAACATTCTGACACACACACACACACACACACACACACACACACACACACACAAATAGATTTTGTGAACATGATATCAGCTCGAGGATAACGGCGCTATATATTATGATTAAGGCTTATTGAGAAGAACGTAAATGCCTTTACAAGTCATGAAATGGGAAAACTATAAATATATATATATATATATATATATATATATATGTATGTATAAGTACAGGGTTGTGAAAAAAAAGGTAACCTTTTGAACAAAAAGGCATATTTATGAGTTATATAACGCAACATAACATATTATGAATTATGGATAATTTTTAGTTGTATGCTAAACATAATAGAAATTCTTACGAGTTAAAAGGATAAACTTTGTCTTTTTGCTTCCTTTCTTTTGTAATACACTGTTGCCCATTGGTGGGGGGGATGGGGATTGTGGCCTTGATTGCTGCAAGTTGTTTTTTTCTCAACACTGTATGGACATACGTATCTATGCACTTGTGAAGGCATATAGGTATGTATCTGCATATGGAAAATCAACACATTGAACGCCATTAAAAATAAACTCGTAATTACTACATATTTGTATATGCAAGCGAAAGTGAGAACGAAAGAGTATTAAGAATTAACGAAAAAAAAAAGGACTTCATTTTAATGGTTATGACCAGAGATATGAAAATACATGCATACGAATGAATGTACTTCTTTACACACCATTTCACCGTACAGGTATATTCAGTTTGTTACTCAGCACGTTACAACTATCACTGGCATTAATACATTAGATGAAAATGCAATCTCCCCCCCCCCCCGCCCCTCCGGCGATGTTAAGGCAACTAGCTGCCTTTAGGATATCCATTTTGATAGCATCAAAACAATATGAAATTTTATTTGTTCCAGGAGGATTTTTACATAACTCTCTTTATTAGAAAAGGAAATATTACGCTTGAGAGATTTCCTTTTTTTATTATAATGAATGTGGATTCAATGAGATAGGTCATGCCAGCATATGAAATGTTATATGATTGTTCTTTTCGCTGACGTCTGTTGAAAGCTGGCCTGTTTCTTAGTAGTAAAAATAAGACACTGAAATATTTCGATTCGAAGATCAAGAGGTTAAAATAAGGCAAGTATCTATGCTTCTCATAGTTGCATAAACGTAATTATTCGAGAAGAGAGGCAGGCAATGAATGAATTAATCGCAATTAGTAACTTCTTATGCGGGGACTAATTGCTTTCTTCTAGCAGCCTATTCCAAAGATGGATTTATTTCTCAGGAAAAATGTTTTCGACTTTTGAAAGCTTTTTAAACATATTCTATTCGTGATAAGAGACGTTTATCCGTGACAGTCCTCTAATAAAAGGCAATAAACCAAAGCTGATATATGAAGTCGAAGAGAGATAAGTTTTCGTTTAACAATGAAATAGGGTAATGAAATGAAATGTCATTCAACCATTGAATTCATGATTGATTTATTTGATAATTTAATGGCCTGATTCTCTGTACATGTTCTCTAAGTCAAATGAAATTGTTCAAGGCCTCAGTTCATCTTTAATGAAGTAATAAAGTTCCATGATGTGTTGTCCAAATAGTTTATGTGTACAATACAGGTGAACAGGTATTCAAGATTCGCTTTAATGCGAGCGCAGCTTTTTCATTTGTTCCCTTTTCACTATTGCTTTTTTTTGTTTTTTTGATGTTTTTATTACATGTTTTTTAGAGGTTTTTTTTTTTTTTTTTTATTATTTAAAATGGTTAAGAACTCGAGCATAGAGTAAGTATACAATGCATTTAGTCTTGGACGAGTATGTATGCATGCAAATGAAATAATTGTAAAAATTGAGTATAATTATAATATTAATAATAATAATAATAATAATAATAATAATCATTTGTGTTAACGTCCCAACAAACCATCGAGTAAGCCACCGGTTATGTCATTCGTAGCCAACAAATTGCCGAGCAAAGGATGACTATTGATATTTAAAAGACAACTGCAATAAATTTTAATTAGGATAACAAGTTTTTAGAATTGGATACAATTATAACGCATTTTGTTTTTGTTTTTTTTTTTTTTTTGGTTTCTGTCTCTTATAAAATTTTTACCGTAAATCCAAGTTAATGACGTGACGGCAGGTCCATTCGCTAAGGCACTAAAATTTTATTATATTAAAATATGAAAAAAATTATAATTTTAAAAAAAAAAAAAAAAAGGAAAGAAGCACAAACTTATACTCACGCCGAGAACTTGTTTACTGGGTGTTGGGCAAGCATTTGGCAATGGAAAGTCTAAGGATTTCTATATAATTTCAGAATTTTCATAAAAATTAATTTACGATATTTACTTATTTGCTTTAATTGCAAATACATTAACAATCGATGTTTAAATGCGAGATATGAACGGCTATACTTACGGCTATAGTTAAGGACTGAGGGAAAAATGAAAAAGAAAAACAGGAAAAAAAAAAAAAAAGAAAGCAAAAAAAAATATAAATGAAAAGTGTAAATATTTTTGCTATAAATTTAAATATATACGCGCACGCATACACAAACGTACATATACGTATACACTTATATATATGTACACGCACAAACACTAATAAAATTCATATGTGTTGGAATTCTTACCAACAAACCGAAGGCGAAAATTACAAATGTAAATATTTGCGAATACATGTTCCAGAGCGCACGTGAACTATAACAAAGTAATGCTGGTAACTACTGACAAAAGTGCAATGCCCAAGTTACGGGAAATGCTCAACATTTTATATGTTCTTCGTTGTACATACTCAATGTAAACTTTTCGATATATAAAATGATTCATTTAAAGTTTTTACGATTATTTCTTAATAGGTTTCACATAATTTATGGGTCAACATTGTTAACCGGACTGTAATTGTACATTATTAAAGGGCATGTTAATTCCTTTATTTAGAATATAATAATCGCATAATTTCTTACAAGATATATCAAACAATTTCGATCACTTATCGGATGTTAGATGTTGTTGTCTTCTTTAATGTTTCTGTCTTCTTTAATAAAAAAAAGAGATTTATATCAGATAAAGTAAATTATTCGTTCGATCGTTTAGAATACAATCGGTGTGATTAACTTACGTTAAGAGCGAACTAATTCCGGTACCATCTTGACTAACGTACATTAACAGTGGGCCGATGTTGAAATCCGTTACTATATGAGGAAGATAAATTGGACGAAGATTACGAAAAGTATTAAAAGTATTCAGTTCAACTGTAGCTCCTTTTTCGGTTCATTTCTTATTACGTTGTTTGGATTAAGTTAAAATATTCCTTATTGTGTATCTGAACGTGAAATAAATTCATTGTTACATTCATTGATTCGAGTCATTTATTCATATTTTTGAAAAGTTCTTATTTGTACGTGTTTTGTGGTTTAATTTTCTTACTTTCAAATATTTTTAAAACTTTATGCCAAACGCAAGCACACATAATAGGGGGATTGCCTTTGACCATCTCCTCTAGAAATTTATTTGACAGTCTGGTCGTTTATGTGGTTGCCTTTGCAGTGATAATCATTGAACCTTATGCAATTACTCACTCTAAGCTAAATGCGCATGAATGCCTTTTTGTAATAAGTCACGATTTGTATCAAAATTAAATAAAAGAAATGAAAAAACGAAAAAAATTCAAACATGTTCCGTTTGTTTTTAACTTACAATCAGTTAAGTTTATTCTTTTTACCATTACGCTTACAAGGCCTAAAAAATGTGTATCTATTCGAAACTGTATCGAAACTGTGGTTCTTGCATTCCTATTTGATCACTATTTTCAACTTAAAACAATCAATAAAACAAAAACAAATATTAATCTTAGCTTAGCGTACAAACTCAAATCGAAATAAATGCTTAAAGTGCTTGCGCTTTTCTTAGCAATCATTATTATCTACGTATTCGTTTATATTAGCTATGAAAGAGAACTTTGCTTCAATAGTCCATAATATAATTCGTTCATTGAATCTATGTATATAAAATGATATAAATAGAAATAAGAGCTTCGTAGCTGTTTGTTCGATATTTGACGAAAGTTTTTTTTTTGCCTCGTAATGTCTATTAATTCGACTTCAACCGTACGCAATTATCCCTTTGTCCTTACTGTTGTTATTGCAACGATTTTCTATTCAAGTTAATGTCCTCTTACATGTTTGCTGACCATTGACAGTCAGAGTTAAATATTGGTTACATTGGACACATAGCATGAAAGTGGAAATCTATAGAATAATAAAATTGCCAAAAAATTTGAGCGTTCGTTTGGAAAATTTACCGCAAAAAAAAAAAATAAAAATAAAAATAAAAAAGTATATACATATATATGTAATAGGAAAATTTTAATATTTAGGTAACACACATGTCTCTCTTTCTCTCCCTGCATATACGTAGACTAACATGTAAGTACGCAATTGAGTTTTATTTAGTTGACAGATGTTGCGTCACTTTCGAAATTTATTTTGCTTTCGATTTGCTTAATTATTATAGTATTATTATATGCCTGACCGTAAATCTCTAATACTCTCTAGTGCTGTTGCCAATGCGAGCTTTTGTTTCCTGTAATGATTTAATCGAAAATATATTTAACGGCAAAGGGAGTTTTGAGGTTAGCGTCTTGGCTGACTGATTTTAATAGAAAATTTTATTCGAAATCCATCCAGAGATTCTCCTTTAGAGTCTTTCAATTGGTAACGCAACTGTTTTGCTTTATAGAAAGCCTTTTACCCTTTGCTCTTTAGGCATCATCATGATCATGAGGCAATGCGATGTCTTCTGTCTACATTGTCTACGACTATTGAGCTAATGTTGCATAACCTAGACAAGATATAAAATAATTACAGCTTGACATATTAAAATTTACATTAGTTGTTTGTTAATTACGATCCCTGTCAGCAAATATAATAAAGCTACTATCTCTAAACTTCGTCTGGTCCATGAGTATTTTATCGGCTTTATTCAAAGTTATTGAACACCTTTTTGTGACTCAGATAGATCTCAGTTTAGATCTAAAAATGAATAATCTATTAAGTGTAAAGAAATCGGGATATAAATCCGGACGCAGTTATAATACTGCCATACTAAAAGCGCTCGAGATTATTCTCGCCTGGCATACTGCACAGGTAAGGTTACTCTTCTGGTCATCGTAGATTTTTCTAAAGCTTTTGATACTGTTGACCATTGTACATTGATGTCATTCTGTATGCTGTCAAGTTAATGAAGTCGTATCTTCAGAATAGGTATCAGTGTGTGTAAGGGTTAATAACATTTTGTCTACTCTCCGAGAAATCCTCTTTCGACGTGGCTTGAAAGGCTTAATGCTAGGGCATATTGTGTATGGTGTTTTTATCAATCACAACACGAACATTCATCTATATACTGATGAAGCGCTAATATATTTTTCACGAGCGCTGGTTCCTATTGAGGACCCTGTCGAGCGAATAAACGTTGATCTACGCAACATTGTCCATTGGTGTGATGAAAACACTCTACGGCTATATTCAATTAAAATCAAAGCTATTGCCATATCGCACGACGCATTGGATGTCACTCCCTACCCAGAGTAGTAATGGCGAATAATGAGGTTAAATTTGTCAGTGTTGTTTTCAATCTGGGCTTTAAGCCGAACTCTAGATGTGAGCAGTCATCATATTTAAGAAGAAAGCTATGGTTATCATCTTGGCATATGCTTATTAGTAAAACTAAGTCGGAACTAATTAAATGCCTGACAGTCCCTCTCATATCTTAAAGTGTTAACGTCTATGGAAATCTTGAGTTTACTTAAAAAAACAAGATACCGCTTGCCATAAATAAATGTGTCCGATATGTATATAAAAACAGGAAATACTTCCGTATATCTCAACTCTCATTGAATGTCTTTGGAATTAGATTAGTTTTTGTACGTAAGTGTGCGTAACGTAATTTTTATTTTTATTCATAAGCTTCTTCATACGAAAAAGTCGACGCTTATTAGATCTAAATAAACTATGCATCTGACTTCAGCAGAACACAGATAATCCACATCTTCAAGGCCGTTTCTTATTGATGCTGTTAACTGATAGAATGACTTACTTAGTAATGTAGAAGCGATTGTAACCGGAAGATAACTATGGTTTTTGGTTTTAAACATGCTTCGAGTTTTTCATTTATGGGTTTCCCTAATTACTTATAATTCCTATTATGTACTGAGCAACTTATTTTCAATATTGGGCTTAATTTTTGATCGCAGTATTTTTTTGATTGATTGATTTTAACTGTCAAGCCCTGTGAAGATTTCTAACCAGTGACATTGTCGAAATGCCTTTCTAGTGCATGATGATGTAATTGTGTGTATGTGAACTGTAAAAGACTTATAATCTGATTCGTCGTTTATTTTTACTAAATATTATTATAAAATAATATTATAATTATAATTAGTAAATATTGAAAAGAATAGTAGCAGCTTTTACACCGAAAGCTTTTGAAATAATGTTAAACAAATATCAAAGCAATTGCGGTTTAGTAGCGCTTTATGTGTAACAATGTCCAAGTATATACTTCCGTAATATTATTCGAAATATTTATCGAACAAAAACAAACCATCATCGTGGACATTCCCCAGGTCATAAAACCCATGCAGAGCCTTTTAAATTGCGACTAGGATACCATTACCAAAATTAAGAATGTCAAGAGTATCACTTAGGGAGATAAGATGACATCTTTTTGGGGAAAGAGCATGCTGACGTGGAAGCCAAATTTGGCCCGTTTTCTTTACAGACGACAAAGCGGAAAATATGGATTTCCAAAAACGTATTGAAAGAAGAATGCAACAAATAATTGACCAAAGGCAGTAGACTAATTTTGTTCGATCGCTATATCCAATCAAAGATTCGTTATAAATAAAGATCGAAGATTAAAAAGTATTATGTTAAAATATCAACACTTCGAACTGACATACTTTGTAACGACGACAGTCACGACTTTGCTCCAGGCAAAAAGTCTCTAGACTTCTGTAAAAACTCTCTCCTTGAACAACGATTTTTGCCACATTTCCGCATAAATTTACTCTTATTTCACTCACAACAGTCATATTCTTGAAAATAAGGTCATTGGGTGTTCGTGGTTTAGCCAATGGTCCGACAGAGATATATCATATGAACTCTTTGGCTTGTTACAATGTTTTGTTAAAACTATATAGCGTCTAAGTCGAAATCTTCTACTTTGTGCAACGGGAAATCAACTACGATGCTATTGCAGCATTCATGCATTGACTGCACTGCAACTGCAAAGCCATTTTCATG